AATCTACTCAGAGCCTCTAAATCTAACTCTCCAAAATTAGTAGAAATCTCATCATCACTATGCCCAGTTCCTAAAGATGACCCTCCTCTGCCATCACCGTTATTAGAAAGCAAGGGGAGAACACCCCGAGCACTTCTCGAGGCAATTCTCCTCTTATCGGGAAGTGATGACGATCGCCTATGCCTACTATACATGGACTGTCCCCCACACAAAATGCTACCACCTCTCCTCAAAGTATCTGAAAGGGAAGGAGAGTAACAACTCCCACAACCCCTTCTGTGCTTGGGAGTCCTCTTGGACCAATAACAAGGAATCCCACACCCTTGTCTACCAGGCAAATCCAAGTGATCATCCAACTCATCATCACCATCATTCATTGAAGTAGTTGCTGCATCCCAAGACCCAATAGTACTAGGATTTCGATTAACATATCTATTATAAGAACTAGTTGACAATGCTGGAGTACTATAAGTATAAGAAGAATCCTCTTTTCTACTAGTTCTCAATAATTTGGATGATGAATATGACCAGTTTTTTTGCCTAAGTGCTAAAAGCAATGGGGATGCCCCAGAATTCTTTCTGAAATCTTCAGAGTTACTATAATCCTCAGTTTCATCAGATTGCTCCACATAATCATCCCTACCCAAACCCAGAGGTAATGAGGGATGAACCTTGAACAATCTCCTATTATTAACAGAGTTGTGATATTTAGCCAACACATCCGAATGGTTACTATATTTCTTACTCTTCTTCTTCGTCTCCATTTCTCGCTTGAAGTTTGGCGTGCCCAGGGACATAAGATTCGCGTCCCTAGACCTGAAAACCATGGAAGAAGATGGAATCTCACCCAAATAAGTATCACTCTTCGAGTCTCTACCATTCCTTGCGTCAGTCAAACTATCATCAACACTGCCCTGAACCCATGAAGAACCCTCATCACCATCTTCCTCCTCTTCTTCTTCTTCCTCCTCTTCCACATTCCTTCCCACTGCGCTCTTTTCACTGGAAGATTTCTGATTCTTCCAGTTGTACAGAAACACACTCTTCTCCTTCCCTCCATTCCCATTTTTACTTTCTACCCGAAACGGGAAATGAGAATCCAGCTGGCTGTTCCCATTTTGCTTCCAACTTTCACCATCGAACTGCTTATTGTTACTGTTACGAGTAGAAGAAGACGAGGCCAGTACTCCAATTGCAGATCTTGAAGAATTCAGAGGCGATTTCCACGAGGAAGTTGTTCCCGGATCGCGTAAAACCCGTGCTGCTTTCCTGATCTGAGTCAGCTCCTTTTTCAAATGCAGTCTGCTAGGGTCTGATATCCTAATCTCCGACATTCTGTCGCCGAAATATCACCAAATAACTATTAACTATTCACACTCGATCGCTCAATTCAAACCTACACAACATTGATCCGGAACTACCTCGGTTTCTGTGCGAGTATACACAGTAGCAATAGGCGAGTATTTTAGTAACAGATTGAAGAAGAAGAAGAAGAAGAATACGACGATAGTGACGACGATAGTGACGACGAACTGACTGACGGGTAGGAGATGATATTTTTTAGAAGAAAATGAAATGAGTGCAGATCTGACAGGACGTAGGGTTTCTTTCAAGCGAAGTGAAATGAAATGAAAGGTGTTGGAATGGTGAGTCGTTGAGAGTTGTGAAATGCCATTTTCTTGGTTCTTTGGATTTGTTTGACTCGTCTGTCTTCTCTTCCTGCATAAAAATTATGAGAGAGAAGAGTCCACTAGGGTTTCTTCTTCGCTTTCTGGTTGGCGCCTCCAATTGAATTCTCGAATGGTGAATCTGGGACTCTGTGTCTGGTGTTAGTGAAAGAGAAAGATAGAGACTGGGGACAGGGACAGGAGTTCACACAGTTTCCTGTTTTTCTTCTTCTTTATTTCTTTATTTTTTTTAAATAAAATTAAAATTAAATAAATTCCCTCCAAATCCAAGAATTTACATATTTTTTGTTATATATATATCTAATTTTTATATTTTTTAAAAATTAATATTGAAAAAAATTTCAATTTAATCTTCTAAAAATTTTTAATTTAAAAAACAACTTTCTTTTTATAATTCGTTGTCTCGTAATTTATATATTAATTAAATTACTTAATCAGTTCATCTAATCAATATATCGTTATATATATGAATTATAAAATAGTAAATTATTTAAAAATATATGAGATTTTATATTAAAAAATTCTAAATTATAAATTAAGTAAATTAAAATTTACCCTTATTAAAATTTTTAAATCGTTGTATCGTCATAATTTTAATTTCATCGAAGTAAAATATTTAATATTAAATTCATAGTATACGTATAAAGAGTTGTTTCTGATTCGATTATAGGTACGTAATTAATTTGATACAAAATGTAATAAATATCTAAGATGCTAAAGTTTAATTATAAAAAAATGTAATAAATATATAGTGATTGCCAAAATATTTTATATAAAATCACAATCATAATAAAATCATATCTCAAAAATTCACATTTTATATTTCCTTAATTTTATCATTACTCTATACATCTATACATACATAAAGTTTACTTGAAAGCTTCAAATAAAGGTACCATATGATTTGAATTACAATATTTCTCTTATATACATATGGCAAGATATATAATTTGCTATATATGTAAACCCAAATATCTTTCCATTAGTAAATGATGGTACTTAATATCTTTATGAAGTAAACATAATATTATGTAATATCATTATATTTAATGCTTAATTTCTTATTTAAGGGCTTTAAAACACAATGCACTTGTATGATGATGCTTCGTGCTAACTTTCCTACGAATAATATTTCTTTCCTTACTTACGTATGATCCCTTATCCTATTTTAGCTTTAAGCCAACTACTTTTATACGGGTCACAAATAAAATATATAACTTGGTGCTAAGCAGAAGAAATTTGTGTCCTTATAGTCGTAAAAACTTGGATGTTGGTTTCTCTTCTAAACGAGCGTTCCATATTAAAAATATATATATATATATATAATGGTTATATTGATCATATTAAGATAATGCTAGTAACAAATAGTTTTGATCAGCGATCTATAATATTGATTGTAGTGAGACATTCAATTCTATTGTTAAAGCAAATACTAACTATATTTTATATTCTCTGCTTATTGTTTATGGTCGGTCAATGTCTCAATTGGATATTTCGAATACTATTCTAGAAGCCAGTCTTGATGAAAAGATTATAAAGTAACCTCAAATATTTTATCAACTTTGACCTTTCTAACTATATAGGTTTCACAGGTCTTTGTATGGCCTTAAGAAGGCACCTCGAGCATGATGCATCTGGTTGAGAAACTTTTCGAGGACTATGGTTTTGTATATAACAAAGTCGATAACTCCATGTTCATTTACTAATTTAACTATGTCAAGATCTTTGTTATTGTTTACATCAATGATATCATTGCCATTAAGATGAGTTTGAATAAAATTATTATCTTTACTAAAAGGAATATCATGTTTCTAATACGAGTGCGCTAAGTTATTTCCTTCTAATGAAGTTCACTATCTTTCATATGACATCGTACTTTCTCAACATAAATATATTCAAGACTTCGAATATGTTAATACAATTGGTTGCAAGTCCTGCAACACTCTCCTGATCCCTCTTAATCCTTCCAAAAGATATTAGGGTTTTTAGTTTCGAATGGTAAACTATATCGTTAGCTCACAATATGTCTTTTTACTTACCATGGTGTTGTCTTAATTTAATGTTAAATAATTATATTGGTTTACGCGCTCATCCAAAATATGTATTTTGGTATCTTAAGAACAATGTGCTAATGATTTATTATTATTTTTTTCCTCCACTTACTCTGCATTATTTTTTCAATTGTAATTGAGATGTTGATTTTGATAATTACTGAAATACTATACGCTATGTAGATTTTTCGAAAAAATTATAATATCATGAATTACTAATAAATAATCTAATGTAATATAAAATTTTATTAAAGTTTAATACGACATCGTTGTCAACACATTGCTTGACTTTATACGGTTCAGTTCTTGTAATTTACTATGAGGATCTTTCCCTGTCATCTATCGTCGTGGAGATGCCACATTGCTCCACCTTTCACTTGTAGAGAGATGAACAATATGTTTTGAAAGAATTGTTATCGGAGAGATAAGACCTAATTATTAACGTTAGGGAAGAGGTACGATGCCTCCTCTAAGTTTTTGCCAATATGGTGAGGTGACATTAATATGATGTCTCGTCCATGATACCACTATTTGTCATACCATGTGTAGTCACGTAGTCATTTAGATATTACATATATATATATATATATATATATATTTAATATATCAAATATCTTGTACTTTTTTAATTAACAAAATTTAAAATAGCTTGCTTCATTTTGCACATGTAGTGTGAAAATCCGCCTCTTGATAATTATGTATTTGATATATAAATATAAGCCATCATGTAAAATAAATGTTAAGGTAATTATTAATCAAATTTAATTGAATCAACTATTTCAGTCAATTTAACAGTTCTTAATGTTATATATATTTATATATGATCAATTAGATTTCTTGTTTATTATTCGACTAGTCAGTCTTATTTAATAATTAGAGTAAAAATAAGTAATTATATAAATATAAGAAGTAGAAGTATTCAATTTTACATGTCAGATATTACGTCATTAGACAAGTGACATTTGATGTGGATAACGATTCAACTAGAATGTGACACGTATTTAATTTGAGTTCACGTGATACCTCCACTAACACTCTTAACAGATAGGGACTGAAGTATATAAACTAATTTAAATATTTTAAAATAACTAAAGTATTAACAATATGTATATATATATATATATATTTGTACATATAAGATTTTATAAATAATAGAAATAAAATAAAGTTGATAGTTAGGATAAAAAGTAAATTATGTGATCACTTTCACTTTGATTGTGTTGCAAGTAAATAAATTAATTAAAAAAATGTATTAGACAACAAATTAAACATCTCTTTTCTTATAAAATAATATATTTATTAATAATTTAGATAAACGATAACAATTTTTTTATAAAAAATAAATATATTAATTATTCAACTAATTAGTA